CTTCATGAACAAGCTGGCAGGAAACGAGTACGTTGGCTTCAGCAACGCCACGTGAGTTCCTCAGCAGAACCTTCTGGTCTCAGGTCGGTTCACTGCCGGCGTTAATGAACCCGCCTAGTTCTGTTTGTGACCCAGTTTCCAGTCGGAGCGCGAGTCCGGAGACAGGAACTTTGCCATCGGCTACTACCTGAAAGAGAAGAAGGTGAGGATGTCTGGTGTTCAGGAAGTGTTGTAGTTCTGATCGGGTTCTGATCCGGTTGTCCTCCACAGTGTTTCCCTGAAGGAACCGACATGACCGCCATCCTGGACTTCTACTTCCAGGTGAGTCTCTGGTTGTGGTTGGGCTCGGCGGGAGCCGGAGCCGCTCCCTGACCCGGCTGCTCTCTGCAGCTCTGCTCCATCGAGGTGACCTGCGAGAGCGCCAGCGTCATGGCCGCCACGCTCGCCAACGGCGGCTTCTGTCCAATCACGGGCGAGCGCGTGCTGAGCCCCGAGGCGGTCCGCAACACGCTGAGCCTCATGCACTCCTGCGGCATGTACGACTTCTCCGGCCAGTTCGCCTTCCATGTCAGTACCGATCGCGACGCTTCGGTTGCTTTCCATGAAGACGGGAGCTCACTGTCGTTCTGCTGCAGGTTGGGCTGCCGGCGAAATCTGGCGTCGCCGGCGGGATCCTGCTGGTGGTTCCCAACGTGATGGGCATCATGTGCTGGTCTCCTCCACTGGACAAACTGGGAAACAGCGTGAGAGGGATCCAGTTCTGCACGGTAACTTGGTTCTGTTCGGTTCTGATAATCCAGTAGACTCAGTTCGTTTGGGGACAAAAACAAAAAATGGAAATTATTGAACTCATTTTATTGCTTTTACATCATTAATCAAAATTTCTCAGGTTTTTGAATTTTCAAACTCTTTGAAAACTCTTTAAGATTTCCTAAGCAGAACTTGTTGGATCCTGAAACCGGGCTGCTTTTCTTTCTGCAGGATCTGGTTTCTCTCTGCAACTTTCACAACTACGACAATCTGAGGCACTTCGCCAAGAAGCTGGACCCCCGCAGGGAGGGAGGAGACCAGAGGGTGAGTCAGCTGCTGCAGTGCAGCATCTGCTGCTGCAGAAACACTGAATAGCACCAAGTGTTTCAGTCCAGTTTCTAGGACTCTGCAAATAAAACACTGACAAGTATCTTCAGTGAGATATAGGAGCTTATTTTCCTCTGCAGCGCCTGCTGCTGGCAGGCTGCAGACGATGAAGGTTTCCCTCCTCTTCCTCCTCTGCAGGTGAAGTCGGTGATCAACCTGCTGTTCGCCGCCTACACCGGAGACGTGTCGGCCCTGCGCCGTTTCGCTCTGTCCTCCATGGACATGGAGCAGAGGGACTACGACTCCCGGACGGCGCTGCACGTGGCGGCGGCTGAAGGTCAGGCCCAGACAGGAAGTGGAGGCGGCTGCTTCCTGCTGTGTGTGTGTTGTGAAGGCTGAGGTTCTGCTGGTGTGTTCCAGGTCACGCTGAGGTGGTCCGCTTCCTGCTGGAGGCCTGTAAGGTCAACCCGGTCCCCAAGGACAGGTAGGAGCGTCTCCAGGGACACAGAGACACTGAGGACCAGTTCAGACCTGGTCCTCAGTGTCTCCATGTTTATTTCCTGTCTGCTGACATCTGTCCTCCTTTCCTTTGACCTTCCTTCCTTCTCTCTCCATATTTCCTTTTTACTCTCCTTACTTTGGTTTTCTTACTTCCTTCATTTCCTGTCTTTTCTTTCTTTTCTTCCTTCTTCCTTCATTTTGTTATTTTTTAGCATCAAACTTTGTCCTCAAAGCGTTCCAGCAGCGTTTTCATGGTGTTGTCGTGTTTTGCGTGCAGGTGGGGCAACACGCCGATGGACGAGGCGGTGCACTTCGGCCATCATGACGTGGTCACCATCCTCAGAGACTACCACACCCAGTACAGCCCTCAGGATGCCACCGCCGCCGCCGACTCGCAGAGCGCCGAGAAGAACCTGGACGGCATGCTGTGACTTCCTGGAGGCTCCTTCAGTATAAAAGCTCCTCATCATGTTTATCTGTTCTCCCAGTGAAATAATCGGTTTTTATTCCCTCCTCTGCGTCCAACCATGAATCAAACGCGCCGGTGCTTTTATTCTGGAAACAGGAAGTGGAGTATGTGTTCATGGTGTGACCCTGACATGGTGGTGTGTTTTGTATATAAGTGTAAATATGTTAAACTGTCGCTGTTTTCCTGTAAAACTTTATTTCCTCTCTTATTTCTCTTCCGTTTGAACATATCAGAAGAGACACTGCCAGGCTGAATGGACCGGTTCTGACCGAGCCGCAGTCAGAAGGGATGAATGTTCAGGTGGCAGGAAGTGTTACCACGGTAACAACCTTCACCAGAACCAGTAAGACCTGCTGGGTGAAGTTCTGGTCCAAGATTCGGCTGAATCCTGAATATCTCCCTGCTGATGGCAAGTTTGAGGTGTGTGTGTGTGTGTGTGTGTGTGTGTGTGTGTGTGTGTGTGGTGTGTGTGTGTGTGTGTGTGTGTGTGTGTTCCACTCAGGACGCTGACACGCTTTCCATGCATTGTTTCTGACTCATACTTGAAGAGTCCGGTTTTGTTTTTGTGCTGAAAGTTTGAAACAATCATGTTTTATTTGTTTTTTTCTCCCAAATCCAAACTTTAAAAAAAAGGAGGATCATTCCAGAAGTCAGGTCAGAACCGGCGGGTAGTGGGGTCAAAGGTCACTGAGGAAGCACAAAGCTGCGGCGCGGCGCGGTCCGAGCTGCAGCTCTTTGGATCATGTGACGTTTTGTTTCTGAATGTAACGTGTTTGTTCTGGTTCTTCTTCTTGTGTATTTATGCCGCTGAGCCACCAGCAGATATTTATCCAAATAAAAACTAAATATATAAAAACAAACTGAATTCCTGTCATTTAATTCCTAATAATTTCATCTAACATTCAGGAATTAAAACAACTGCTTCTAAATGTTTCTGACTTTCCAGACTTTATTTTATTTTTTATATTTTCAAACGTTTCTTTTTATATATACAAATTTTAAATGTCATTAGAGTCGGTTGTGTTTTAACTAAACCTCATTTTATTTTTTCTCTTCTATTTCCAACCAGGTGAGGCTAAATTTCAAAAGTTAAAGTTAGATTTTTGTATTTCATGAATTTGCAGAGAAAAGTTTTTCTTTTCTCCCTTTGCAACAGAAACTGAAACACTGGGTAACATTTGTTTTTACAAAGTTGCAACTGAACATTGGATGGAAAATCAATTTTCCTTCTGGTTTCAATGATCTTAAAAGTTCCCAACATGTGAGAGAAAATAAAAAGCCTCCAAGTGAAGAAGTAAAAGTGGAGCTGCAGATGAAGTGAAATTGTTCCAGATCTCCTCCGTTGTTGTTCTGAACATGTTGAGCAGTAAATGTTGATTCTGCTTTTCCTGCCCAGATGCATCAGCTCAGTTTGGACCTTCTGGATTCTGAACTTTGAGTTTTTCTCCTGGATCAGAGACGATTCTGAAGCCACGCCTCCAGTCGTCACGGTCGACGCCCCTTTTTCACCAAAATCCTCCAAAACAGAAGACAAGTTTTAAAAAAAAAGCAATTTAGTGTAGATGAGCGAGTGGCGGAGAGAGGAGGAATACAGGCTGCTTATCTAAAGGTTGTTGGTTCGAGTCCAGCAAGGATCTTGTTGCGTTTTGACTCAAATAAAGGAAAAATTCAAGTAAAATCGGTAGAGTTCAGGACTCGAACCTGCGGACTCCCAGTCCACGTCTTATTCCTCTGAGCTACTGCTCATTACAAAAATAAATGATTTCCGTGTAAATTTGTCACAAAAAAATCACCACATTTTCACACTGTGTCAAATTTTGTGGAAAAACCTGGCGAGGGAAGAAAAGAGGCGAGGAAACGTGTTGATCAGAGAGTTGATGACAGCTTGGAGCTTCAGGTCTTCAGATTCTCTTCATCTTCAGACCAAAGACTTTCCAGATTCTCTGCAGCGACTCGTTGGGCTCCTGCAGACCTTCGTCTGTTCAGCAGTAAATCCACCAGCAGGACTCGGCTTCTCACAGACTCCAGCTTTATTTCTTCATCTTTACACAGAAATACTTTCTCTGGGCCTCCACCTCAGAGGGAACAATTAAAGCCCGACAAGCGAGAGTCACATTGATACAAACAGGAGAGTTTTCAGAGTCTTCAGCAGTGATGAAGGTAAGTTAGACTAATTAAAGCAGAGCTCTGCAGCCTGCAGCTCATTAGGACTAAAGATCACAAACTCAAGTTTGACAAAGAAAAATACAAATAACATACACTTTTTAGTGAAAATTACTTTTTCATTTTCACAACAAAATGACTTTAAAAGTGTTTAAGTAACAAAATGTGATAAATAACAAAATCACATTTTGAATATTTTTCACTTTACACATTTTGCAACAAATAATTCAGTTTATTTTTAAATGAGACAATAAAATTTAATAATTAATTTATCAATTAATCAATTAATAATTGTATTTTTATTTTATTTTTTATTTTTTACATAATTGAGTCAAAAACTGCAGTTTAATAAGTTCTGGGTAGAAAATAATTACAAACAAGATTTTATTTGATCTTAAATGTAAAATTATAGATTTTTTTTATTTGAATGGTTTTTTTAAAGAAAATTAACACTTGAATAAATACTGAAGTTATTGATTCACTGATTACCAAATTAGCTGACTATATTTTAATAATTGATTATTCATCATTTTATTTAGATTTATTTTTCCTGATATTAAAATAAAAATCATGTGCAAAATATAAACATCCTATATAAAAAATTTAGCACAAATTCCTCAAAAATCTTTTTTGAGGACGTTTTGTGTTTCTCTTTTTAATAAAAACCTTAAAGTAAAAATAAAATATTTCCTCTAACAGTTAAAACAGATAAAATGAAGTAAATATTTGAAAATGTCATTTTGTGGCTCTGGACCCGTTTTACCTGGAAAAGCAAAAAATGTCTCTGGATTGGAAAAGCTGCAGAGAGCTGGACTAAACAAAGCCCACCATGATGAGGACGCGGAGCGCAAACGGGCCGAACAGAACCACCAGGAGCGACGAAGAAACAGAACCAGGATCAGAACCAGGATCAGGATCAAGACCAGGAGGGGCGGGGAAACGGTGGCAGATCGTCTTCAGTTCTCATCCTGAGATTCTGAACTGAGGAGAAAACAAGAACTAATTAATTCATCTGAAACAGAACCAGTTCAGTTCAGAACCGTTCATGTTCAAAGTTCTTTTCTTAATACGTAGTTCTCATAAACTGAGCAGAAAAAAGAAATAAAAACAATCGTCACAAACTAACTGTGAGGAAAGAAAGAAAAACAGAAAATGTAAAAAATGAGAGATGAATTTAAATCTTAAATTAAGTTAATATATTGGTATAAATATTAGGATTTTGTGATGTTGCAACGTTTAAGCACTTTATTAAATAAAATCATTTCACTTTAAAAATGGAGGTGATTTTTAGAATAAATAAAAAGTTTGCCAGAGGATGAAATTGTCAATATCATAATTTAACTTTTCATCAAATTTTATAAGATTAAAACTTGTGGAACAGATTTATTGTACAAAATTCAGTTTTGAAAATCTTTCTAAAAACATTCATGAAGTTGCAAAATTCCTGTTTTGTGTCTCAAGAACACAAAACAGGAATTAATATTTATTTTAGATTTTCTTTTACAGAAACTCATTAGAGAAAACTTAATAGATAATTATGAAATTAATGTCAAATCTGCTGTGGAATAGAAAGTTATTTGGTTCTATTATTTATTTGTAGTTTATTTTTGGATGTGGGCTACTATCACAATTTGAGTAAACACGTCATCGAGAGGCGCAGGCTGCAGAGTGAGGACTGGACCCGGCCTCTTCACTGACGTCATCATCGTGGGACCATTTAAGATGTGAGACATGCGCAACTGACTGTTTGCAATAAAGTAAGCGGTGGTTTTCCTCCTGGTTCAACTGAATAGTGAATAAAGTGACTTTCTCCGACTTTTCCTGCCCTTATGACGCCAACCAGAGGAAACTGCAACATTAATAACAAAGAGCTCGACATTTCCCAACCAGAACTTCGAATCAAAGATGAGAGTCCGAGTGGCGGAATGTTTACGAAGCAACACAAAATGACACTTTTATTAAAGCGCAGCTAACAACCTTCATGGGTCCAGATGCTCGGTCAGAATATGACACAAATAAATAGAAAAACCAACAACTTACCGAGCAAAGCAGGTCGGTTTTAAATGAAATACAGAACCGGTGTTGACGTTCTCCTTCTTCTTCTACAGGGTGTCAGTGGCGGCTGCAAACCAACTTCAGGTGCATTACCGCCACCTACAGGCCAATCAGAGAAGCACTCACCTGTACGGTCAGAAGAGAAGCTGGAAACAGAAGTTCAGGTTTGACATTAAAGTTTTTGTTGCTTCTTCTACTTTTATTTAATATTGTCGTTCAAGATACGTTTGCCCAACGTAGAATACATGCAATGCACATTATGCAGGAAAAAATTATCTAAAATCTGTCATATATCATTATTTGAATGCAAGCGTTTAACTTTGTGTTGAAGCTGGTGGGATGAGAAAGAGGAAGCGCTGATGCAGCCACAGTTACTACAAGGCCTTTTCATTTATTAGTGCTAAGAATAATAAAATATCTTTATTTGGCCTCAACTCTCACGATGAGGCCAAATAATGAGTTTTCTGCTGAATCCATGAAAAAAGATGCTCAGCTTCGGATCTGCTTCACTAAAAGCAAAATCTAAATACTGAAGGTTTTCAATATTTAATCTAGTTTTGTTTTTAGTCTGTGAGTCACGTAACGTCATGTGGAAAAGAAACTGAAAGCAACTTTGGTTTCCTTCAGAACAGCGTCCATTTTGAGTCGCAGGAGGAAAACAACTTACCGAGTTAATAACAGTAAGTGTTGCCGCTCCGTGTTTCTCCGTGTTTCTCCGTGTTTCTCCGTGTCTCTCCGTGTTTCTCCGTGTTTCTCTCGGCTCTCTGGAGCCTTTCTAACCGATGAACCACCGCAGTTTCCCGGGTTCTCCACCACCGTGTCGCTCGGCTCCTGTTTACTTTATTAACTTCCTGATCTAGACAGGAATTAGTCACGGGTTAAATAAAATGCTTTATTGTGAGTATTTCATTTCACTAATAGGTTGATTTGTGGTAATAACACTGTTACTGATGATTGAGGCCCGCACGTTAGTCAACGCAGAAGGTCTCGCGCAGTTTCCGCGCCCGTCCATCAGGCGATACTGATGGATCTGCACAAAAGATCTGGTGCAGATCGGTGGATGTAGAGAGGAGATATAGTCCGTTTTCACAGGATGAAACCCAATAAATCATAGAATTTCAGTAAAACATACAGCAGAAAAAACAGGTGACTGCCTGTTGAAAGTGGGCGGGGCAAAGGTGATGTCATCAAGTGACCGTGTAAATGTGATCAGGACTGGTCTGCAGAGAGATATAGGAAGTTTCAGGCAGCTGTGATCTTGCATTTGGAAGTTATTGAATCTTGATGTTTCAGGGGAATAGTCAAAGTTAGTTTCGACCATATGGTATTGAAGGAGACCCAATGATGATCAATCACAGTAACTTTGGTGACTCAGTGAGTTTCTGTGTAGGAGATACAACAGTTTATATTTTCATGGTGAGCAGTGAACTTTGACCCCTGGTGACAGAGCTAAATATATTCACCACTTCATAGGAGATGTTCACTCCTTCATTCACCTGATTCACTCTGATCCTCTGAACACATGATGGGAACCAGCTTTCTGCTTCCAGTTACTGGAACTGGATCACTGGGACTGACTGGTTCTGGTTTCTCTCTCAAAAGGTCCAGAAGATGGAAAATCTGGATCTAAAAGAACCTCCAGGATCCATCAGTCCATCTATGAGGAGTGACTGGTCCAAAGATGATAACCCAGACTTCAGTAATGAACCTGGACCCTCAGACAGAAAGTAAGAAACCAGTTTCTAACTGATTCATGTGAATCTATAGAGATAAAATATAAATTAACTGGTTGATCTCAGTGTTTTAATAAACAGTAATTTAATTTTCTTACTTATTAATTTAAAGTTAGACCTGAAGGATGTTGGTCAGTGAATCAGTTTGAATGAATTAATATGGATTAAAATGTTGCATGAAAACAAAAACATGTGAGGAGCAACAATTCAGATTGTCTGTAAACCCACTGAAGCAGTGAAACCAGCATCTTCCAGACTGGGAACACTGGCATCAGTCATCATACCAAATATAATTCAATGAAGTACTTAAAACCAGAAATCATCAATGTTCTGAGGTTCTGTTCTGACCCAGTTTCTGGTCCCTGGTTCTTTGTGGACCTTCATGAACATGTTCAGCTCCAGCCTGTTGCTAGTGAATATTTCAGTGATGAAGAAATGTCTTCACAGCAGCAGCTTTAGTGAGGAGGAGCTTCCATCCTGCTGTGCTTTGGGTCAGAATGTTCTGATGGATCCAGGCTGGACCAGCTGCCCCCAGTGTGGGAAACAACCCAGAACAAGATCTGGACTGACAGCCAATCAGAGCAGCCCTACTCCAGGTGAGACTGAACATGTCCAATCAGAGCTTCTTCCTTCCAGATCCACGTCTTTAGTTGAGATTTGGACATTTAAGGATTAAAAGTTTTTGTGGTCAGTTGTTTCAACTGAATCTGTCTTTTTCAGCTGGTGTAACTGGATCTTATGTCTCTGTAACTCGGCTTAAGAAAGTCCTCATTTAATTTGACTCTGTTCAAAAAATGGCCACGAGATAAATGTACAAATTATAATACAAATTTGAAACAAATTTGAAACACAACAGCAGGTTCAGACCTGAGGAGCTGATCAACAGACTCTGAGGAGAATCTCTGGATGGAGCAACAGGAAGAGTTGATCTTCATCACGTTTGTCTCTCAGATGTAAATTAATCCTGTTTCTGTTTCTGCCTGCAGAGGAAAAACTTTTAAAGGTTCGCCCTGAGTTTGTGAAGAGAGTTTCTGAGGAAATCCTGAAACGGCTCCTCGATGGCCTTCTATCAGATGGGGTCTTTATGCATTCGGAGATAGAAGATATACTGCAGAAGAACCAAACCAGAGCAGACAAGGCCCGTGACACCATAGATGTGATGAAGAAAGGACAGAGAGCCTGCAGGTTGATGATCAAACATCTTCATCACATGGATCTGACTCTGTCCAACCAGCTGGGTTTGTCCTCTGACTCCTTTGGTCCAGGTGAGACAGCCTGAGTTGACAAGATTTCAATTTGTCACCACAAAAAAAAGTTAAATAAATTAATCTGCTGAATGTATGAATAGACAATGGATTCTCGGTTCAGCTTGTTGAATATTAATGAAACAAAATGAAAACTAAATTCATTTGAATATGTAATTACTATGCCATATTCAAGTTTAGAAATTCATAGGTTAATATGGATTATAATGAAATTTTTGATGAAAAGGTTTTGTACAACTTGTACAGCCAACAGAGATAAAATGAATGGTTCTGTTGATTTACTTCAAAATGAAGAGAAGCAGCTGGGCATCAACACTCAGCGATGGAGAACCTCCAGGTTCTGGTTCTGTTGGGCTCAAATAGAAATTGTTTTATAGAAATTCATTGCTGAGCCAAACATAATGATAAAAACTCAGATCAGCTGATTATGATGATGTATAAATATAACTACATTCTGACACTTGAAAGCCCTTTTGAATTTAGGTCATAAAGTAAGAAGATGTAAACCAATAGCCACTTGTGAATTTCATTTCTTTTACATCCAAAGGAAAAATGTGAGAGAGGAAATACTATTTATAGTTGTTTTTGCGAAAGGATTCATGGCACCGCCCTGGGTCAAACTGACCTGGTGCTCTCCCTTCCCTTGCATACGAATCACAAAGTTGGACCAAATGTGACTTGGGAAAAGATGTGGTTTGGACAGATAAGAACACCAATCTGTGATGAATTGGCTTATTCTGCCAATCTGAAATGGAGCAGATGTTGAGGTCAAGAGGTCCCAAATATTCTTAAGGAGGTCCAACACACAATCAGTCTAGGACTTGCCAGGATCCTTACATCAGTCAAGGGTTGTAATGCTGTTGGTTGAAACTTTCCAACTCACATCAGTAAAGATGAAATTGTATAAAAAAGGTTGATGTTAAGAATATGGGGAGATTTTGTTTTTGTACTGATGAAGTTGTAAGACATGTCCGTGTAAGAATGATAAATCTCCCAACTCGCCATGGCCTGAAGCAGCAAAAGAACCTGAGTCTGGAGTGCGTTATTTCCTTTACGTGTGTATATATATATATAAATATAAGAGTTTAGCACCTTTCTATTCTCCAACAAAAACAGTTAATATTACGTAGTTTGGTCTTTCATGTTTGTGCAAATGGCAGCTCCGACAGAACCCTGACACAGTCGCATCATTTCTCTCTTTTTTATTGCTCAACAAACTCAAATCTTGAATATATTCAGATCAACATTGATGTAAATATTCCAAGAAGGCATGAGCATATATACAATCATAGAAAGGTGGTTAGTGGTTGCAGCATGGTCACTACAGGATAGATGATTGATGTGTTCAAAGCCAAAACATTTACATAGAATATCAGAGGAGGCGTATGTGTTACTGAGAATCTCTTGAGCTTTAGGTGCAAAAGAAAAATGTTTAAAATTTTCATCTTAAGGCTTTATCACATCTGTTAGTCTGGTTCAACCTTCAACCAGAAAAAACCGTGAAAGAGTTTTAATGATCACAACTAATTCAAATCAGCTCTGTTCAGTAAGAACCAAGTTTATGGTTTTTCTTACCATGCAGAAATTTTAACAAATTTGAGGTTATTTATTGATTTACTTTTTCTCATTCATTAAAGGTGATGCATAAATTGTCTCTGAGAATATAAAAATTATTGTTTTCCTTATGTTCAGCTGAAATGTCTCATCCTGTCTTTGTCTCTTCTTTCAGATTTTGATATTCGATGTCAACGTGACCTTAAAGAGTCTCTGAAGACGATGTTCCAAAGTCTCTCTGAAGGCGTCGCTGAACTTGGAAATAAAACCGATCTGAACCAGATCTACACTGAGCTCTACATCACAGAGGGGTCAACTAGAGAGGTCAACCAGGAACATGAGGTCAGACAGATTGAAACAGCATCCAGGAAACAAGAAACAGTCAGAAGAGAAGACATCTTTAAAGTCCCACCTGGAGGAGATCAACCAATCAGAACAGTGATGACCATGGGCGTGGCTGGCATTGGGAAAACACTGTTAACACAGAAGTTCACTCTGGACTGGGCTGAAGGCAAAACCAACCAGAACATTGATTTCATATTTCCATTCACCTTCAGAGAACTGAATTTACTGAAAGAAGAAAAGTTCAGCTTATTAGAACTGATTCATGAAACGATTCACTAAAACCAAAGGAATCAGAAACTTTGAACGTTCCAGGTTCTCATCTTTGATGGTCTGGATGAAAGTCGACTTTGTCTGGATTTCTACAACAATCCGATCCTGACAGATGCTACAGAGTACAGCTCACTGGATGTTCTGCTGACAAACCTCATCGGGAGGAAACTGCTTCCCTCTGCTCTCCTCTGGATAACCACACGACCTGCAGCAGCCAATCAGATCCCTGCTCACTGTGTTGACATGGTAACAGGGTCAGAGGGTTCACTAAACCCCAGAAGGAGGAATACTTCAGGAAGAGATTCAGAGATGATGAAGAGAAGGCCAGCAGGATCATCTCCCACATCCAGAAAATCCAAAAGTCTCCACATCATGTGTCACATCCCCGTCTTCTGCTGGATCACTGCTAAAGTTCTGGAGGATGTGATGAAGACCAGAGAGAGAGAGAAACTACCCAAGACTCTGACTGAGATGTACATAAAGTTCCTGCTGGTTCAACTCAAAATCAAGGAGGAAAAATATGATGGAGGAAAAAAGAGCAAATCTATCTGGAGTCCAGAGAACAGGAAGCTGATTGAGTCTCTAGGAAAACTGGCTTTTGATCAGCTGCTGAAGGGAAACCTGATCTTCTATGACAAAGAGCTCACACAGTGCGGCATCAACATCCAAGATGCTGCGTTGTTCTCAGGAGTTTTCACTGAGATGTTTAAAAGAGAGAGAGGGACACGACGTCTCCGTCTACTCCTTTGTTCATCTGAGCATCCAGGAGTTTCTGGCTGCAGTCTACATGCTCCACTGCTTCACCAGCAGGAAGTCAGAGGAGATCAAGACGTTCCTGGGAGACGATACAGAGAAACATCTCTAGATGAGTTCATGAAGAAAGTCATGGAGAAATCCCTCCGCAGTAAA